GCGTCTTCCCCGTTACTTTCGATTTGGGGGGCTCACAACTCTCTCGGCGGAAGTTGCCGGAAGCCCTCTTTTGTTTTGGTTTTCCTTCCTCCTTCGCCCGAGCCATCGACCCGAAACTTTTCCTGTTCCACTTCAAGTTCCATTAGTTTTGTTAAAAGCGTCTAAACACCAATAAACCGTCATTTAAAGTTCGGACCGCAATCCTGCTACAACTGCTCCCGTTCAATTTTTTCCCCGGCCAAGTTAACATCCGCAAACTCATTTAAAGTGAAAACATTCTTGAGGAAATAATATTGGAATCTCTTCGCAGGATAACTGCGAAAGTTTTTCAAGCTGCGCCACTATCATCCTCCGCCCTGGCGTCCTCAAGAAAGGAGCGGGAAAGATTCTGATAAAATATGTCGAGCGAAACTTTCGCAATTAAATCCGTGTCCAGGGCTCGGGTTCTGGAGAGATTCGACGGACTTATTGGAAAAATGTTCCTCGACCGAGAAAGATTGGAGATTTCGATAAATAGTCAGATAATAGTTAATAATGTATTCTCACGGTCCATGCATAACCTTCCCCCGAATCAATCGTTATCAGCACCTACTCGATACTCAACCTCTCTTTTCGCTGTACTTAACAATGGGCGACTAGAGAAGGTATTTACTGATAACGTCACATTTTTGGCGCGTATACGTAGTATACCGCCTTTGCGATCGTTTCGAACCCTGCTCGATACAATAACCGAGTCCCTTAGTTCCTTACCGAAAAGTGACTACCGCGAACTTCTGAGATATTCCAAAGCGTGTAAAAAGTTTATTTATCCGTCAATAATTATGATTTAAAGTTGTTTCTCATTCTGGGGNGGGGTGATTTCCTGAGAGCCGATAATATCACGAATTTCTCATAGAACCCCTCAACAGTGGCTTGCTTTTTTGGCAGCCGATTCGGCCATCGAACCGGAGTTTAAATGGAAGCTGATAATAACCCAAAGCTCTGAGAAAAATTTTGAGATGAGTATAAGAACGGTTTGTTGTAAGTAGCGAGGAGAGGCGGGCAAAGCGGCTAAAATCCTATCTAATTTTTACAGTTTTTCTGTTGAATTAATGTTGCCGCGGGCTTCTGACTGTCCACACATAGTTCTGTTCAGCATATCGATACATAAGTATTTACATTTTACATACGTAGAATCTAATTTTCACGTCGGGGAGTTGACATATTTTGATTTTTTCGATTTTATACGGAAAATTGATGGTTTTTCGGGATTGAAATTATTATTGTTTCATGAAAAATAAATGCACCCAAAATGACTATAGCATATTGATTCTTACACATTTGCACTCACAAAATTGGTTGGTAAATTCAACGAGTGGGTGCATCGACCTGGTATATCAAGTTTCTGCAATTTTTTACGGCAAATCAGTAGATTTTCGGGATGTAGATTGCTTACTTTCAATTCATGAATGAATAAAGCAACGACATGGTTGAACTTCTTTGCATGAAAAGACGTTTAAAATAACAAAATCAAGAGGTATTTAATGCAATTGCATTTATATCGAGTCAATTTCATTTCAATAATAAAACGGGATTTATACTACCGGTGATTTGGGTATTTTAGCCCCAAAATACCTTTAAATCGACTTTATCTTCTAGGAATTAGACAGAATTTTTCCTTTCTTCACTTAAATTATTCCGTAGCACTTTTCTTCAAGAATCTGATACGATTTTGCTTGAGGCAGATCAAAAAACTTAAATTCGATCGAATAGCTTTCTACTTTCACAATACACGGTCTCGTCAAAGTGCGTCGTTGACCTCTCAGTGTTGGATCGTATGAATTCTCTTGTTGTGCTACATGCCTATTTTGAAATCTCTGTAAATGAAAACTAAAGGGGTTGATATGTGCGAGTTAATGACGCGCCTTATCAACACATTGTGTTGGAGTTCACTGCTTGTTTTCTCTTCAAAATATTACGTAGAAATCGACTCACACAACAGGAAGTTTAGAAGTCAACTTTTGAATGCAAATATTTTTAACACGGATTAAACTTAAGTTGGATCATACAAATAATCACCCGTATCTTGTTTAGAGGTTGACTTCCAGATTTTCTGTTGTGTGGTTCGTTGTTTTCGTTCAATTACATTACGAAGAGAAAAAGCGTTATGTAGTGCTTTAATGATATTTTGCCCAGTAACCTGTACCTACTTTTATCAGTATGAATCCGAAATGATTTCAAAATTGAATCGAGAGTCTTTGAAAAACACAGAATAAACTCGCATCAGCCACTGCTTGATTTTTATTCGCAGCTTTATTTCCACGGAAAAGTGATCAACAGTATCGCTCAACATTTTCAATGCGGAAATTACTGTTTTTTCATCCGCAGTAATCCCAACCGATTTTATCATCGCTGAAACGTCATTTTCTCTATACGGTTTTAAAAGGTGGCAGGCATCGTCCATTCCCATTTATGACTAAAATCCTTTGTTTGTCATTACTTTTTAGCTAGTGTTGTGCGTTTAGAATATACTGTCTTGCTACGCCAGTATGAACATTTTGGGAAGTTGTCTATAATGTCCTCTCTTTAACATTTTTTTTTCTTTTTTTTTTTAAGAAAAATATAAATATTTTTTTACAAAGTTTTAAATATTGATAGTAGCAGGTATACTCACATGTGTGTGCGAGCAATGCAGACAGTGCTCTTAGTTGGGCTCGGGCCGTATAGGCAACTTAATTAACTCGATGGCAAACCGTAGGGTATCGTTCGAAATTGAAGGCGCTCTCAGATTGATGTGAGATCGTACTTGAAGTTAGCGAGAAGCGATTTCTGTTCCTTGCTATAACCTCATGCATACTTCTACATCAAGACTAGATATAAAGGCGTCGGGCTTGCCACGTTGTCACTAGCTTCTGTACTTTTTTATGGGTCTCATTCAAAGTCGTCTCATAATAGCCCCTTCCCTTAGGAGGTTTACATTATGATTGGGGGGGGGGGGTTTAAGGAGTTCCTCTACAAATTATCATAAAGAGGACACTGGAGATGTTGCATGGGTGAGGACTTTGCGATTTGGCTGTTGATTCTTATGCAAAAGTTCGCGAGAAACACGATGGTGCCACTGGTTTTCTCTGAAATCAACTCCTAAGCTCAAAAAAAGCTCTCTAGTTGAGGCCAAAATGCAGGGGATATCCCACGCTATCCTGAGAGTCCATCGCTACATCAAGACAAACTCTCCATGCAAAGATAGGGAGCGAATACATTGACAGGGCTGCTACCTTATTTGGGGACTCTACAACTGAAAACACAGCAACCCTGTCAAGGTATTTGCTCCCTATCTTTGCATGGAGAGTTTGTCTTGATGTAGAGGTGGACTCTCAGGGTAGGGTTGGATATCCCCTCCATTTTGGCTTCAACTTGAGAGCTTTTTTTGAGCTTGGGAGTTGATTTCAGAGAAAACCAATGGCACCATCGTGTTTCTCGCGAACTTTTACGTAAGAATTAGTAGTCAAATCGCAAATCCTTCACACATGCAAGATCTTCATTTTTGCAAAGCTCAAGTAACGTTTTGCAGTATGTTCCCTTGAAATGTATTACAATGATTTATCACTTCTAAAAATGCAGAATCGGAGAAGAAATATTTAGCGAGTTTAGAGAATTTTAAAGTAATGTTGCACCTACCTTATAGGCAGTTCGTTTTGTCTTCCGTATTTTATACTTTTTGCAGTGGCAAATTATTGAAAATCCCTTGCAAGGGTCCATTTCCAGAGTCATAATCCTTATTTTTCCCGAGATTCGTAAACATAGTCTGTTTTATGATTCTGTGTTCAAGGTTTCCTTAAATCTCCCTTAATCATATTTTAAACCAAATAAGGGCCCAGATACACACGGCGATTGAAAGACGAAAGCCGGCTGCGGCCGGCCGGTCAGCAAGCAACGCGCATTAGCGCCTACAAACCTAACTGAGATACTTCAAGCATTGCGCAATGCGTGAAGTATCCCCTTAGGTTTGTAGGCGCCAGTGCGCGTCTCGCACCGGCCGCAGCACGCCGGCGCCGCTCCGCTCTGTGTTAGGGTCTAATAATGGAACTCGCGGAGTCAGCGTTTTTCAACTAATGATTTTGAAATGTTTGCACACTCTACATGGATTATTCTCATTTAAATTGATGGAAATAAATATGTATTGAAGGAATATATAATGTGTGTTTTAAAAATACTTGAAAATTTGCAAAATTATGTTACTTTAAAATTAACTATTATTTGGTGGAAAGCCAAAACTATTCAATATTCAAGGAGGCTGTTTAGATTATCATGAAGAATCAACATTTTTACAACACTGTAATCGCGCTGATTCCTTTTTGCTAAATGCGATCCATGTAGAACCAAGTGGATCCCATAGGAAAAAGGAACCAGCGCGATTGCAGTGTTGTAACAGTATCGCTCCTTCATAATTATTATCCAAGAAGCCTCCTGGAATAGCGAGTAGTTTTGGCTTTGCACCAAAAAATAGTCGATTTTAAAGGAAAATAACAGTGTAAATTTTAATACTGCACATATACTAAGTATTTTTTAAAAGAAATGGAGAAAGGGCGCGATTTTGAAAACACTGCAATTTCGCTGGTTCCTTTTTGGTAGAGTCCCTTTACACTGAGAGTCAAGACAATGTGAATCCATTTCTGATTGGTTCCCGTATTTTAGGCCTTCACAGTGTCACAAACGGGAATATAGATTACATTTTCACCGGTTGCAAAGATTATAATCTGGAATGGACCAGGGAATTGCGGGTTCGGCAAGGAACAAACGGAATGAGAAAAGGAACGGAGAAAGGAATTTGAGAATGGGCCGATCAAAGATTACGAAAAACTTTCAATTTCTGTAATCTTTATTCCCGTTTGCGACTCCATGAGGGGGTGTTGTCTTGACTCTCAGTATAAAGGGACTCCACTTTTTGGTAAATGCGATCCAGGTGTTTTTCGAGGGTGTCTTCAGACTTGAGATTTGACGGTGGGCGTTTCCTGTTGCAGATCAAACTACTGTTCCTGAAGTGGTTCCCGTGCATCCTGCGGATGTCGCGGCCGGAGCCGGAGACGCCGGTCTCCGGCTCCGGGGAGTCGGCCCGGAAGCTCCAGCTCCGCGAGCTGGAGCTCAAGGAGCGCTCCTCTAAGTCGCTGCTGGCCAACGTCCTGGACATCGACGACGACTTCCGCCACGCCCCGATCCCGCCGCCGGCCCCGCACGGGTACCTGCCCCGGCACGGCGGGCACCCCCACGAGGACGGGCACACGGGGACCCTCCTCCACGCCACCTCCGCCTCCTGCCTCGGGCCCCACCGGGAGCTCGCGCTCATCCTCAAGGAGCTCCGCGTCATCACCGAGAAGATCCGCAAGGAGGAGGAGGACGCCGCCGTCACCAACGACTGGAAGTTCGCCGCCATGGTCGTCGACCGGCTCTGCCTCATCATCTTCACCCTCTTCACCGTCATCGCCACCATCGCGGTCCTCATGTCCGCCCCGCATATTATCGTCAACTAAGGACCTCCCGGTTGTCGAATCCCTCTTGCTCAAACTAAGACGTGCTTCTTCCACGGATCACAAATGCTTCCAACGCTCGCGTCACTCGGGGCGGGAAATTCAAATTATCGGCTCGTTTATTCAGTCATCGCATACGGAACACTACAGGCCTACATACAAATGGCGATTAATCGCCACGATTGAAAGACGGGAGCCAATTAAGAGCCTTGATTTCGATCCATTGATGTCGATATATCGAAATCAAGGCTCTCCATTGGCTTCCATCTTTCATTCGCGGTGATTAATCGCCGTGTATATCTAGGCCTTTTTAGAAGGAAAACTGACTTAAAGACAGTGGTGACTTTTGGAAGTTGACAACTCTGTTCTTCCTCCATTTAAATCCATTGAAAATATCGATTTAAGGTGAAGCAATCTGCCTAGATAAGAATCGATTGTTTTACATACATTTAAATGGAGGAAAAAGAGTGTTGGCAACTTTCAAAACTCGTCACTGTTTGGAAAGCCTGTCAAAAAGTGCCTTTTTTCGGGGGAACGCAGTGACTTCGATCAAAGTTGGCTCGAACGATACCTTATTAAGAGAAAATCCTCCAGTGAGAGTTTTAGCGGGAGTTCAAAACTCGTTTTCGCAATACAGCGTTGTTCAGTTTACATTTTGACCATTGAAAAATACTATTATTTTGAAGTTCTTGATTGTTGAGGAAACAACTTTAGTTGGTTCTTTTTACTTTCTGAGGCAGGTTAACATTGATAATAATACTGTGCTTCAGAGAATAAAAAGGGAGCGACTAAAGTTACTTTTTCAACTCGGAAACTTCGAAATATTTGCATTTTTTAATGGTCAAAAATTGAAACTTTGCCAAAATGAGCTTTGAACTCAAGCTAAAAATCTCATCAGAGGGTATTGTTATAAAGCTACATGTGGACACAATCCTGGAGTTTTTGCAAGAGAGTGAAGGCCCTTTGTTCGTCAGGATCTTTGCTATCAAGAAGGTTTCCTTTTGACTCTAACATGAAATCGCTTGAATCGAGCAGATTTCTGCTGGATGCAAGCGCTTTTTTTAATAAGCATCTTATCTGTTCAATTCAAGAGATTCAATTTCTTGGTGGCAAATTGAAAAACATTTTGCTTGAATCAAATCTTTCTTTTCCAGTGAAGAATGATTGATGGTGGGAACTAAATCTGCTGTCCGAACATGATTAATGACGAAATTTGGAAAAAGAGGATTTCAGATAAAGTGATACGATTTGACCTATAACTTCTTTTCACTGCTCGTAAAAATAGACTCCGCCTCCTTTATCTTGAAAAACAACCAAAAATTTGGTAGAAAATTCCGAAAATTTCTTATACTTCGAAGTCACCTTAGCGGCAAGCATTGGTCATACATAGTAAGGATGTGTCTCTTATCCTCTTATCTGAAGATCTCTTTTTCCGACTCTCTTGCAAGCATTCTGAAAGGTGATGAGCATCTTTTTGCAGCGATAATCTGATTTTCTACGCGTGCGTATGGAGCGTCTCTCAGAATAGTCTAATTCTCCACATATGTTTATCAAAATTTGCTTACCATGAAGATTTTTGGCTCCCGGAAAAAGAAAATTGAAATCAAGAGGCCACGTGAACATATTTCAGCGTAGTTGAATAGCACGAGTATTTGAATTTCCCGCGTCAACCTCGACGAAAGATAAGAGCGTTCCAAAAATATATGGTCCTAAAAAATACGTCTCAAGGCTTCAGGTTCCTTCCATTTGTCAGACGATTTGGTTAAACGAGCCTTACCCTATTTTTGATCATCTACGGACGATCTCGGTGAAGGATACTATGTTTCAAAGATTGTTATGTCCAACACTCTAAGTTGACTGCCCGAAAATGCCGTGGTTTTCTGTCAAACTATGCATTAAATTCCTTAACCGTTTTTAATACTCAGCTCAGTGGAGTTCTCAAGTGCCTGTATCACCAACCTTCACCGGAGAGAAAGTTAAGACTCATTTTCCCCAATTGCCACACATAAGGAAGCCACGTGAAAAACATGAATGGGCTCTTTGAACTGTGTTTGTTTTCGTTTTTGACGACTTCTCTAACCAAAATGGGTCCAGTAAATTGGTCAATCAAACTAAAAACAAAAAGAATGTTCGTTGTGAACGCCCTAATAATCGATCTTTTTTCACAGGATTGAATGGCGTAACATTCGAAACATCGCAAAGCTTGCCACGCTACTGCAAGGAAGCGGCAAAAGCGATGGTGAATCCAGTTCTACGTTATGGCCCTTATTACGACATCCTCAGTAACTCAGTGCTGGCACATATTAAACTTGCATAAACCAGTTGCTGAATCGGCAGGATTCAACTAGAATCGGGCTAACTATATCTTACGTTGTCTACTTTTCCTCTTGTGTTCTATATTTTTACAAGAAAACCGAGCAATATTCTGACTTAAAATAGTGTAAATATATTCTCAAATAGGAGGAAATTTGCGAAAAGCTTCAAGGTGTTACGTTGCTCAGTTTTCAGTAAAAAAATAAAACATGTGAAAACACTACACAACGTGGAATGTAGGTAGGATGATTCCAGTTCATTCAGTCCGAAAAGTCGTCGGAGATTATCCACATCGGGCTCTAGGTTACCGGCCTGACAGCCAGGGATAATAAGAAGGGTTGTAGGGCGTGTTGCTCGCTGACAAAATTTGTTGCAATAACCTTCCAGGCTCACCCGACTAGGTACCTCAATTGCCCAGCAGGACACTTAAAGAACGATTGTTTTTGTGGATTAATGCAAACTTAAAACTGGCTCCTTTCCGTAGAGTACAATTTGAATGCCTATATACAATCTTACGTAAATCATTATTGATTTTCCGTGTACTTTTCGACCGTTTTCATACTAATACTTCGCCGAAGAATGTAAACTGCCAGTGTGAATCTATGATAAGTCTGCGTTACATTAATCGAGCGTTGCCAAATTTGTAACAAGATTTCGACCCTAAATTGTGTTCCTTGTTAATATTCATTGACAATAAGTCGGCTCGAGCAAACGTCCTAACAACTTTCCTGTAAACGGAACTGCCAAATAATTGTCACTCTCGCGCAGTTTACTCAGTCATGCTAAAGTGCATTGGAGTTACACTATCAGTGGTGTGAAAGATCATGGTCAGCAAACTTACAATATCTTAGGTCACATTAAATTACATCACAGCTGCTTAAATACAATTTATTTGAGAACAAATTGTTTTTTTTCATCAGAAGATGTTGAGATTCTGCTTTGCGTAAAAATACTGTATGAATCAGTGACGTCACCGCCAAATCAGCTCTCTTACAACGGACAATAATTACTCAAATTGTAGCACAAAAATGAGTGTATTACTGTCAGGCGATGACGTCATAGGACCGTACCGCGAAGCATTCAACATATATCTACGTTGCCCATCCTAAATTCTCCATGGATATTCATTTTGTATCGAATCTGATTTTATCATAATTGCATTCGTTTCAACAATTACTCCACGTATATTTCGACTATAAAATTGAGTGACCGAATTTTCCAAGTATCAAGCATTCCAGTTGTCTCTGTCATTTGACGTACAATCTGTGAGTTTGGAGCCATTAGCACCACTGGACGTCTCCATCTTCGCATAGACGCCTAAACTGCGCTTTGAAAGCGTAAAACACTAAAAATAAAATTAAACTATATTTTTTTAATTTTTCATACAAAAAGATGCATACTCAGCTGTGCGCTTTTTAATCGTGAATTAGACATTGATGAGACAGGTGCTAGGAATGAGAGATATTTCTGCCGCATTACCTTCCCTGCGTAAAATCTGCCTGAAGAACAGCAAATGCCTATGAATTCAAGTGATTTATAAACTTATCACACTTAAGGTATTTGCGACGATTTCTCAAGAAAGAAAAAAAAAAGTATACAGTTCGTTTATAAAATATTCAGAAACTCCAATATCCGGTAAATCACTAAATTGTATCCAAATTCCTCCATTAACACTAATCAACTGTCCGTTAGTGCACACATTTCGCATGATCATTAAATAATTGGATTTGATACACTCTTTTGTGCTTATTTGTGTCAAAAGTTGATTCTTTTTTGTCCGATAAATGGAATATTCGAAGTTGTTTCCTCATTGTCTTGTCGCGTCTTGCGTTCGCCCCAAAGACATAAAGACGGAGCACTAAAAGCAAAAAATGAAGCTTCTAGAGCTTCTTTTCAATCACCTCTACTATTGGCTAGAGGATTGGCGGCGAAATCGGGACAAGTTTGAATTCAAATGTAGGGCGGGAACTAATAAATAAAATTGCGGAAACAAAGTATTTTAGGTTGATTTTTGCCCAAATTCAGGTACACACTCATATTTTTTTAACTTTAGGTTAGTTTAAGTCCGTCGTCAACCGATTAATTTCATTTGGGAGTAACGTTGATCTAGAACTGTAACGGCCTGTTTGAACCTGCAGAACCACCATGAGCAGAAGAAAAACTAACTTTATCTGAGATTACTGCCTGTTACCGAGCAAAAGTAGGTGTATTATATTAGGACGCAGACCGAACTTTCTTAGTATATTCGTTTTAGGAATTTAAAATACGTTTCAAAGAAGAAATGTGCAAAAATCAAGAGGACAAGTTCAAATCAAATTTCCGTTTGCCGCCATGGATTCCCGCGCTCATTTACACACTCACACAAGCGCGCAGCGCCGAACCTAGCTTCACTTTTTCCCCGTGCTTTTAGATACGAGCGCTCCGTCTTTATGTCTTTGGTTCGCCCTCATTGGCTGCTACCACAAACCTAGGTTAAAGGTTTGTCGCAGGAGAAGGAGCTGCGCAGCAAACCTCAATTATAGCTCTGTCTTCATCAAACTGGTTAACTATGCTACCATTTTGTTCGTTTCTTTTCACGTAATTATTTTTTTAAGAGCTTTGAAAAGTTAGTTAATAAAAAGTAAATAATGAAAAAAAAAATGATTTTAAATAATAGGTTGCTAATTTTATAAAAGCCTCATTTATACTTACTAGTTTTTCAAATTTGCTAGTAGTTGTTTAGCGTGAATTTGTTATTTATTTAATAATTTAATTAAACGGGTAATATGTAAATAGCGCATTGTTATTATTTATTTAATTTTGAGGATTTATTTGTAAAAATCTTATCGTTATT